TTTTTTCCCCCATTTTGTCTCTCATAGTTGAGGTATACCTATGATGGAAATTACAGGCCTCTCTCATCTTTTTAAGTGGGAGAACTTGCACAATTGGTGGCTGACTAAATACTTTTTTGCCCCACTGTATATAGGCGTTTGGGACCATTTTCTAAGGAGTATGAATAAAATGTAGCAGCTTCCACACTTGCTTCCATAGTAACTATTAGAGATGTGACTTTCCTGGGATCACATCACTGCTGTCAATCCTGGGAAAAGACAAATTTGGTTTACAGAACTACAGAGAGATGCTACATTATACATCCACTTGTTCCAAAGCGCTGCTATCTATTAAATCTAAACTGCTGAACTCTGTCCTTTCAGATAAGAGAGTTGAATTTATAAGGAGAGGGAGAGTGCCCAAACACAGGTCCTACAGGAATTAACTTGACAAGAACACAGCCATTATTTTCTCTAAGAGCCTAGAGCAGTTTCAAAGTTACAATTTGATTAAAAAAAATATGGAGGTCTTATTCTATGCTCCATTGTTGTATTCGCAATCCAAAAACATTAATAGCTCTTTTTTAGCTATTTGAGAGCCAATAACAGATCTACTATCTCACTAGTTGTATCCCACTATTTACAGTGATCCCAGAGGATATTATTAGCAACCAATCACTACCCACAGTTTTGTGGTCCTCCCATAACTTTTTTTAGATCCAATTTATTATATTTTAAAATGTAATATATAATTCCAATGCTGATAGGTCCAGTATTGATTAGCTAAGCACCACTTCAGTTCTTCAGGGTTACTACTTCAGCAAGAAACCTCTTTGCTGCTTCTGACCCTGTAAAAGGTACATAGTTCAATAGAGAGAAGTCATTAGTTATTTAATTCCTGTTCAAAATGGGGAAAAGTGTAATTGTTCATTATGTTACTTAAATATGAATTTTCTAGAAAACAATTCTCATTTCACTGTCTCATTCCCTTGTACATTTTGATACTAAAATGTAAACATACCTGTTACACATTTGGACTTACCGTTTATTTGGATCTTTTATCAGGAGACCTGAAAGCAATGATTTTGCATCAGATGAGAGAGTTCGAGGAAATTTTATATCTTCCATTAGAATTAGTTCAAAAAGTTTCTCATGGTCCTGGTTGTAGAATGGCAATCTGCCACACATCATTTCATACATAACAACTCCAAGACCCCACCAATCCACTGCGCGACCGTAATCATTGTCTTCCAAAACCTAAAATAGTAATATCAAGGCATTAACATTTAAGACAAATATATTTACCTGAAAGACAGATTACTTCTTCTGCAATAATTACCCTTTAAAAGGGAGTGTCATCTTAATTTGCCAAGGAAACGGAAACAAATGACAGTATTCTATTCAATCTTTGTTGAAACGAGGCAGCACCTTCATTTCCGGTTCATTACCCTTCTAGGTAAACACAGATGTACATAATTTTAAAGCTAACTTTTGAGCATCTGTTTTAAAAGTATCCCTGTATGTACCTTGAGCTCTACTGTTTATCTATTGGAATCAAGGATTCAATTCAGTTGTAGTGAAGCACAGTTCCTGGTCATAAAGTATTTTACTTTTCCATCTTCCACTTCCACTATCAAAGCACTGATGTGGTTGTAACAGTTCTGGAGATACTGCAGTATTTTCTACTGCATTGCCTAAACTTGCCTTTACGCTATGACAAATATTGATGCTCTGAGGACTGAATAACATACATGGCATAGATTTTGTTTATTGTTTGCCTTTCAGTCAGCAGCTCAAAGCTGCATATATAGCATTCCTTCCTATATTTCATCATAACAATGTTGTGAGATAGCTCGGACAGAGGAACAGATTGGCCCAAAGCCGTCCTGTGAACTTCTTTGGCTGAGGGTGAACTACAACCTGGCTGTCCCTAGTCCTTGTCCAATAGCTTAACCACTACACCACACTGTTTTTATCATTATTGTTGGTCTCACAGAAAGCCAATTGTTTAGACTGCATTTGGCATTTTTATCCACCTATTGAGTCCTTCCCAAAGACCTGGGATAGGCAAATGTTGTTGTTTGATAGTGTAAGCTGTTCCAAATAAAGCTGCCTTTTGCAACTGACTGATGGTGATGTTGTCAGCACCAATGGTGTTCAAGTGGTGCTCCAGACGTTTTGGGATTGCACCCAAGGTGCCTATTGCTACTGGAACTATCTTTGCTTTCTTCTGCCATAGTCATTCTACTTCTATTTGCAGGTC